AGTCTACGTCGTCATTTTTCTCGATCTAACAGGACCTAACAGAGTTAACAGGGTTAACACAAAGATCGTGAATACCCCTAGTATCAATATTGAAATCACTTTAAAAATAAACTTACAACCCAGAACTAACATGATTTTAATTTTTTAAAGTGCATGTTCAGGAAAAAAAATTTTAAAAGTAGAGTAATACTTGATTATAGGAGACTTACAAAAAACCTTCGACCTTTACACTAATCAGCACTGATTACGGACAAACGTGTATAATACTCGAGTTTGTGTCACCGCTCGTTAAGATAAAGATGAAGTGGGATACCATCTGGTTTCAAATAGCACCAGAAAAACGAGCTAAACTACATTTTAAACCACTCCTGAAGATATGGTTGTGTGCCTCCTTTGTGAACCAACAGAATTGCTGGTATTTAATGATTAACATAAGTATTTAATTTAGCATAGCGATGACAAATTATAAACTACAGTTTGCTAATCAATGTTTATAGTTTTATTCAAAGTATAAATTTATTAATTAATCAATTTTTCTATCATTTCAATAGTAAATAATCATTTTCAAACAGCACTTTCCTACGGTATATCAATAAAAATTTATTTTTTAATCAATCAATTTCAATCAGTAAAACTTTCTTTTAATATGCTTCTTTCCTCTCTCTTTCTCCATTTAAATCTATCTGTCAATCTATTTTCCTACTATTTATCTATACACACACACTCTCTCTCTCACACACAAAATCTCTCTATCTCTCTCTCCCTGTCTCTCTCTCTCTCTCTCTCTCTCTCTCTCTCTCTCACTCTCTCTCAAATTATACCATGTAACTACCCCTTGATCTTTTACCGATTGTTCTTTTTACCTATCTCTCCCTATCTGTCTATATGTATATTTCATATTTCCCTCTCACTCTCTCTCTCTCTCTCTCTCTCTCAATATTTTTATTACCTTTATCTGTTTAATTTTCTATCTGCAAACGGATCACTTCAAAATTGTGTTGGTTAGTGACGGTTCGTTAATGATTATTTGGAGATCGTGAGATGCGGTCTGGTGTGACATAGGTTCTTAGAAAAACATTTTCTTTATCGTGCCAACGTTTCGAACTTTATCGAGATCATCTTCAGGGCTCAAAGTGTTTGTTTTCTTCGTAGTTGTGTCATTCTTGTGTGTCATGTTGAGGGTGAATATCTCACTGGCACTATCAACACGACGGCAGAAAACAACACTTTGAGCCCTGAAGATGATCTCAATAAAGATCGAAACATTGGCACGATAAAGAAAAGGTTTTTCTAAAACCTACGTCACAAGAAACCGCATCACATGATCTCCAAATAATCACTTTAAAATCATATTTTCTTCCTCATTACTGTTTTCTTACACTTCAACCGATCCTTTCTTCTCTTTCATAACCAACAACTTACTCTTGCTACGTCCTCTAACATTTTCCCAACGTATCCTTATCACACTTTCGCGCAGTCTTTCTCACTCTCTCTCTCTCTCTCTCTCTCTCTCTCTCTCTCTCTTTTCTTCTTCTTTTTCTTTTTCCAAAAATCATTGGAGCATCGATTTTTTTATATGAAACCCCAGATAACGATCTAATTAGTTTCAGTAGGCCAGGAAGTACGTTTGAAACAATTTTACAACAACAATTTACAATTAACAATTTTACCGAAATTTTATAAAAATCTTAGTCACTGCTAGTGTTTGTCTTCTTGTGGAGTGTTACCAACGAATAGTTTCTTTAATCTATGTAACTTTAGATTATTTTTGTTGATAATTTACCACATGTTACCGATGGTTGTAATATGAATTTAATCATACAACAAACTACAACATAAAACATAGAATGAATGGTTAGCATGACCTTTCATATTTGTCCTGCCGATTTACGATCTGTTTCATCTTCCGACAATCCAACAACCACGGATCGAAAGATTTAGGTCAGAAATTTTTATTAATTTCGTCCTGACAACGGGAAAGTCTTTTATCCTTAATGACTCGGAGATAGGAGAGTATCGAGAGACCCCGGTGGAACTGGGACGTACACACGTTCCCAACTGGGTCAAGGTTGGAGCCCTCGGCTAAACCTAGCAGGTAGAACTATTTCTATCCGGTGGGATCCAGTTGTTAACTACCATGATAACGCTCTCGGTTTCTTTCTTCAATAGTCGGCCATTAAAATAGATACAAATGAAAAACCCGTTCTCTCAGGATTACAACAAAATGAAATACGTGAAGAATAGATTATCTAAACGATAGAATAGGCCCAGTAATATTTTGTAGAAAGCTACTACATAGTAATTGTATGGTAAATTTCCTGATAAATTTTTACAGTATATTATTTGTTTTTTTAAATACAGTGAAAGTCCGGTGAAGGTTTTTGATGTAACGTTTTGAACGAGTAAAATTGCTCTTAATATTTTTTGACTAGATATATACGTTATAGTAGGTAAAGTCTAGTTTCCACTTTCAAAAAAATATTAAGTTTATTTTATTAATATTTTAATAAACAATTATTTTCATATGGTTTCATATGTTTCTGAAAAACCTAATAACATCCTCGATGACATCCGATCTGGAAAGATTCTGTTTGGAAGTTAGCAAGTGCAGAAGGGTTTTACACGAGGGGGTCATAGCTAGGAAAGGGGTTGTAATCCTGAAGAAGCTTGGTCAGTTTTAGAGTTACTCGAGGGGGTCATTTCTAGGAAAGGGGTTGTAATCTGAAGAAGCTAGATCAGTGTAAGTATTACTCGAAGGGGTCATTGCTAGGAAAGGGGTTATAATCCTGAAGAAGCTTGGTCAGTGCAAGTATTACTCGAGGGGGTCATTTCTCGGAAAGGGGTTGTAATCTGAAGAAGCTAGGTCAGTTTTAGTATTACTCGAGGGGGGTCATTGCTAGGAAAGGGGTTGTAATCTGAAGAAGCTAGGTCAGTGTAAGTATTACTCGAGGGGGTCATTGCTAGGAAAGGGGTTGTAATCTCAAGAAGCTAGGTCAGTGTAAGTATTACTCAAGGGGATCATTTCTAGAAAAGGGGTTGTAATCTGAAGAAGCTAGGTCAGTGTAAGTATTACTCAAGGGGATCATTTCTAGGAAAGGGGTTGTAATCTGAAGAAGCTAGGACAGTGCAAGTAGGTGCGGTATAACCTTACATCCAAGTAAGAAAGTATGCTACCAACTACAACATACCTTTTTACTGTACATTAGAATCCCTATCCAGCTAGTACAAACATAGCAAATGTTTTGATTGGACAAAATGCCTTTGCACCTCAGCTAATTTGCGGCAATCCAATATGCCTTTTTCACTTTCTCTAACTTGCGTAAGTGGTAAGTTACACCTTACCAAACCTAGTTTTTTGAGGGTTGAATTTTTTTGCAGCAACGGCCTCAATAGGGTCACGTAAAGCCCCGCTGTTCACTGCAGCTAATCTTGAATCGTCCCTCTTTGAAGGCTTGTCTCGCTACTTTTTTTCACCTTCGTCAGATCGTCAAATATTATAAAGAACATTTTCATTGACTAAATTTAATGCGAAGTGCACAAGTAAAATAGGCAAACGAATAAATGAAACAATAATATAACATCTAAAGAACGCCAAAAAAAACACAGATAAATGAAAAATAATAGAACCAAAAAAAAAATTACAAGATGAAAGTAACGATAGGTTTAAAAGGATGAAGCAAGTCATCCAAATAAAATGAAGAAAAAGACAACCGAAGAATAAAATAGAAAGCAAAAAATTTAAAAAAAATTAGAAGAATGCACATGCAAAAGATGCACGCAAACGGATAAATTTAACTGTAGGACGTTAAGGAACAGAAAGAAGAAAGAAAATAAGTACTAACCAAACAAAGGAAAAGACAAAGTGGCAACAAAAAAAAATTAAACAAATAATCAATCTGAAATTTAGACTAAAACAACGAAGAATAAAAGAAAAAATAAACGGACAAATAACAGTCACACAAATATACTATATATAGAGAGTACAAAATCTATATTGAGTGATAGACAAAAAATAAAATCAACTTGTTATGCAAGTTATTAAAAATTTGAGAAAATTAAAAACAACATACTGTTCACATTAACAAAAAATTGAGGGTAAATGACTAAAGGAAATAACAAGTAACAATAAGAACAGAGAGAAGAACAAAATTAGTCGAATAACAACCAGGGGCGTCGGTGGTGGGCGCTCATCGCTGTATGGTAAAGGTCCCAGGTTCGGATCCAGCGGCTCCTCATTCTAGCCCGAAATACATACACATGGGCTTTTTCAAAAACGCCAACACCCGTGGTTCATATAACCCAGGGTTGAACTACCCTCATAAAATAATCAAAGAGCGATACAATATTGACAACAAATATAAAGCCGTTCAAAGTCGCAAATAGATATTATATAAAGTTAAAGAAGTGGATAGGGTGAAAACTAAAGATTCTTTTCTACTGGAAGACAGACCGCCAATAATTTAATAACAGTATAGAAAAGGTGCAAACAAACACTTTTTACAATTCGCATACAAAAAATTATCAATTAGCTAAATTTGTATGGAAAAATACAGCACTTTTGAACACTGACAAAAACAGGCATCAACAAATAAAATCGGCTCAAAAACACAATTTAAAAAAAAACGAAGTATCAAACAAACAACAACGAAAAAGCTTAAACAAACGAGCCATATAAACAACAATCGAAGAACAAAGACGTACAGACTAGTGAAGAAAAAAACAAAGTAAGAACAAAAAAATATAAACAACCGAAAATGAACTAGAAAGATGGAAACCAATGAACTACTAGATAAACGAAAAAATTAAAGTTTAGTATAAAAAAGGAATACTATAGTAAACGCGGAATAATAGCAAGACAAACAATCACAACAAGTTATACTGACTAAAAAACTAAATGTAATATAAATTTTCCAAAAAATTTATTTTAAATGGCATGCATGATAACGGGGTGTGATCAGTAATTAAAAATCATAAGTTGAAAAGTAATTGTTTTGACTCACCTTTTCTGTTTTTGATGGTGCAGAGAAGATTGTTATCTGAAAATCGTTATGAAAATTTTTAAATATTTGTATATAACTACGAGTATTAAATAAATTATTAATAAGCTTAAAATCTGTAATAAATCCTTTTTATTTGCAGTATAAAATTTCCGAAGCGCATTCAAAGAAAGAGAAAAATCTTTTTGCATTATTTGACGGAAGGCTTAATAATCCGGATTTGGAGTCTTATATCCATTCGGTTGGAAAAGTCGAGGAATTTTCGCATGGATGTTCGAGCAGTTATCAATAGGGACAGAGGAAAAAAACTGGTTCGTTGAGGGATTTACACCGTGTTCTTTCATGCATTTTTTATCAAGCCAGAGAAGGATGAATGAAAATCATAAAGGACGTCGCCTGCCTCATCCTGTTCGCTCACGCTCCCGGTCCCCTGGGCTCCTACGTGGGAAAAGTGACTTTCTTCCTTTCTACGCCAACTGGGGCGATCCGATGTTGGATGTTTTATTGATAAACCCGACGGCACACATACATCCAGAGACATGCTCTTTGCACATGCCGATCAATTTGTTTCTTTTCATCTTGTATTTATTTATTGAAAAACTCCAATATTGAAAACTGTCAATCCGCACCTACAAATCAGTAGTTGGTGTCCTATGAAAACCTTCCAGTTTTAAAATACAACACACAAAAATTAGAAGTAAAAGATAAAGTGTCTATCAGAAAAATAACCATAAGATTAAAAAAACGTAGAAAATTAAATTAACTATAAAAACAACCGCAAACCGCAAACAAAGAAACAACAACAGCAAGAAAACAAAAGAAATAAAAAATAATGAACATAATCAAAAGAATAGGGCGACAATGAACTCATGACAAATGAAAAAGAAGTAAGAGAACTAACAAAGTCCAATGAAAATAAAACCAAGGCCAAGTTACAAATAGATAAAGAACCATAAGAATAGATAAATAAACAGAAAACGAAATTAACAAAACAAAAAAACACGAGAAACGAAAGAACAAACGGCCAAGAAGCACACTAATAAACAAGAATACAGCGCCAAGGAACTCATAAGCGAAGGAAAAGAAGTAAGTAAACGAATAAACTACAAGGAAGATAGAAACAAACGTAGTGGCTGGCAGAAAAACAACCATAGGAATAAAAAACGTAGTGGCTGGCATAAAAACAACCGTAGGAATAAAAAACGTAGTGGCTGGCAGATAAACAACCATAAGCAGAAAAACAACCATAGGAATAAAAAACGTAGTGGCTGGCAGATAAACAACCATAGGAATAAAAAACGTAGTGGCTGACAGAAAAACAACCATAGGAATAAAAAACGTAGTGGCTGGCAGAAAAACAACCATAGGTATAAAAAAACGTAGTGGCTAGCAGAAAAACAACCATAGGAATAAACAAACAAAAAAATAAAATAAAAATCAAAAGCAAAAACGAAGTAACCAACAGAGAAAAAACAAATAGAAAAAATATTGAATACTACACAAAAATTGGTGAAAAAAAGAATAAGAAAAGAAAAGTAAAATGTATCCAGAATAAATTGAATTCTATAAATCTAATAACAAGCACAACATTTACAAATAAAAAAACAACTGAACACAAGCAATAACAAACAGCAAAAGAAAAAATTACAATAAACAACAAGCTACCAAAGAAAATGAAAGTTCAAATGAATGTACGATTCAAAAATATAGGAAAAAATAACCAACATAACAAATGTATATTTGAATAGAAAAAACTTTGACACTAATTAACCAAGCAAACAAGAAATAAATGGACAAAAAAGCAAATATAAGATTTAAACGGGAAACTAATCAATAGAAAGAACTAACAAAGAAATAAAGATGTTAAAAGAACTGAAATTTAATAACAAAAATAAAATCAAAACCAGTAAATTTAGATTGTATTTATTTGGTTTTTGAATTAACCGAACTAGAATTCACAATTCTAATTCGAATGAAAAAACTAATAAATATTGGACATCGTATCATTTACTTGAAGGAATTTTTTTTAATACAAAACAGTTGTGTCAATATTAATTCTAAAATATTACTTTAATCGATAATTTAAAAAGTAAACTGCTTTCAAAGTTTTCATATCTCTGCTTCCTCTTATGATGGGCTTTTGTAATTTGAAGCATAAATTAACCTTAGGTCGCTTAGGATATTGTAAAAATTTGAGCACTTAATATTAAGCCTTTTCTAAAGAGGAGAATTTTAAAATTTGCTCTTTTGCTACTGACTGACTCACTTATCATCAAAATTATAAATGGCATTCCAAATAGCTAAAAACGCGAAATTCAGAAAAAAAGTTTTGTATGTATATCAAGTAAAGGAAAAAATCTGAAATTTATAATGTTCTCAAAATCAGTGCCGCTTTAGGGGGGAGGGTATAGTTTCACCAAAATCATAAGGCACTTCCCGTATTGGTAAAAACTGAAATTTGGGACAAAGGAGGTCTTATAGCAAAACCAAGACGACGTCCACGATGCTGAGTTTCTGAGTGAAAATTAAAACATCAGGACCACGTGTTGTCCCAAGGAACAAGGGGATGAAGCGTAGGTAAAAGACTAAAAAAAAAAGAAAAAAAAATTCCATACTCTTCATTGCTCATTCAGAAAACGCCACTGTGTTAAGCAATAAAAATAAAAGAACTGTGTTTTTCATAAAAATAGGAGTGAAGTGAGGTTGGTACAATATAGATATTACTTCTTTCAATTAATTAATCTTTTCATTTCAGGTTTTGGTTGAAATGAAAAAGTCAGTGCCACGAGCAGGATTCGAACCCACGACCTTCGGCTAAATACGCTGCTGCTCCACCACTTCACCTATCGTGACTTCGATCCTCTCGGACACCAACTCGCCATCCCAACCTACTTTCGAATTTTCCCTCCTTTTTGCCATTGATTAAACGACATTTCAAAAATGGCAGGACTGAGGGAAAATTCGAAAGTTTGTAAACTAAGTATAACTTCACTAACAGTTTCCCGTGGCCACTTCAAATGTCGTCGAGAATCGAATCCTAATTACACGACATTTGAAAAATGGCAAAAAGGAGGGAAAATTTGAAAGGTTGTAGATTGAGATGGGGAGTTGGTGTCCGAGTGGTTCGAAGTACGACAGCTCAAATGGTTAGAGCAGCGGCGTATCGAACCGAAGGTCGTGGGTTCGAATCCCGCTCTTGACACTAATTTTTCATTTTAACCAAAACCTTACCTAAAAAGAATTAATTAATTGAAAGAAGTAATTCGGTCTATAGAACACTAAATATATTGGATTCAATAAAACATTATTCTTAATTGCTGTATGAGGATTTATCGAAATGTGCTAAGGATAATTAATTTGATTAATTATTCAAAATTCCACCATTACTGACGTAGAAGGCACTCTTTTGTCCATAGAGAACAAATCTCAAAATTAAAAAATGTTAGTTTTAAAAATTACTTTGAACGTTAACAAACGAACATTGGTTTATGAAGTTTTTTTGGACCTGTTTGTGGTGAAAACGAGCGACAGTCTCAATTGCTCGTCAAACCGCCTGCCGTGTAATTGCGGTTTAGGACAAGCAGCCACCGATTTTAGCATCAATAATATTTCAAAGGAGACGCCTATTATTTTGTCGGACGGAATGGAAACGGTGCCAATGCAAATAAACAAACACATGGTGAATGAGAAGAATTGTATAACTATGAACTGTGTTTAGGGCATTGATTGCTCACGGACACACCAAGCCACGAAAAACCTCTTATTCTTGTCATAAGAAGTAATAAATGATAAAAATGATAGTTGTTAGTAAGTCAGTAAGGATTTAAGATAAGAATGATATGTGTAATGTGCGCGACCTGTAAGTCGTTCAAGTCCCAAGAGTCTCTCGTAATTTGAATAAGAAATTTCTCAAGTTTGTTCGGCATTTCTTGTTCCCCAGGGTGAACAGGGATGAAAAACAATTGTCTACATTCTTACATAATGTTCTGAGAAAGTTATGCGACACGCCATACATCAATGCTCGTCCGAATGGTAACTTTCAACTCCCCGAGGGTAGGTTTTTGCATCTGTCCGGCTCAAGGCCCACGTTTTCTCGGCTTGATTTTAATATAATTTAATTCGGCTTCCAGTCTTGTTTGCTACACTATAATTATCTCTATTAAGAGAGATTGGGCTGGAGATCGGCCGATTAAATATTGAAAACTGCAGTGCCTGACATGCGTTCGGTCTGTTTTTCCCCCTTTTTTGTTTGTTAGGTGCTGCGGGCGAATAAACAAAGCCAGATTCATGCCATCAACGTGCAACTGATTGACCAGCACGCATTATGTTTTAAAGAGGTGTTAATATGTATTATTATTACTGAAAAGCTATTTCAATGGTCCAATGGGGTGTCAAAAAATTGTTGCTGCTCTTCTAATATTTTCATTAAAAAAACACAAATAAATATAGCTCTAAAAAGATCTTATAGCCCCCCCCCCAACCCGAGGAATATCAAGCCCTCTGGGGGGACAGTGTGTTGTCTTGAGAGTGAAAGTAATTTATTAGCGCGAATGCAGGGTTTAAAATGGGCTTGTGGCTTGTTTCCGGAGGCTTGGTCTGCCAGCTCTTCATCATGGCATTGCAAAGGTTTTCTCCACGCACTGTCTGGGTGTTTGTTTCCGGGGAAGGTGGGAAGCGATAAAATATTTATATGCTATCTGTTTGTGTTTTTCTATTAATAGTAATTTGACAACCTTTGGTACTTCCGAGAGGTAAGCAAATTAAGAAAACAGGAGACAAAACATGAGAGAGTCATTGAAAAGATGCGTGAAAGGGGAAAAACAGGAAGAATTTTCCGTTTAAAGCGCAGAGGGCCGCTGATGACTACTTGACGTCTCTCGGCTCATAAAAAGTACATACATCTTAAGTCCTTAGAAATAGTGAGAGAATTAGAATGAGGAAAAAGGGAGTAAGTGAGAAGACTGAAGGAGGGAGATAATACTAAAGAGGGGGAGAAAAAGAGAGAGAAAGAGAAAGAGAGAAAGTGAGAGAGAGTGAGA